TCCTATTCTCCTGTTTGGCTGTGACTCCATCCTGGAGATAAATATCAGCTGTGCTGCTGCCATCAACATATAGTCGATAGAGTCGGGCCTAATTTTGAGTGTTTTGTCTTGTTTCTCTGTAGACATAGCTATGGGCTCAGCTTTTGACATAATCATCCTTTGACATAAAAACTGGCTCAGAGCTCATGTACTTAACGATTTCCCTCCCAGACAGAGCCACCTGTGGAGCTACTTTACTGTTAGCTTTTCTAACATAGAATACATTTATAGATCAGTGCTTCGATGTTCCTTTTGTCTCCTGGAACCCCAGTGGGCCTCAGCAGATGGCCGCTCACACTGAGCCTGGTTCTGCTGGAGGTTTCCTCCTGTTTAAAGGGAGTTTTTCCTCTCCACTGTTGCTGCATGCATGCTTGGGGTGAGGGATTGCTGTAGAATAATTGTGTTCCTTAAATCCTTCAAGAAATGTGAGGAAACTTCTGCTAAGTTTAGATCTTGTTGAACAGGAAGACATGAGATGGAGGAGAAACCATTATGAAAAGTTTCCCATAAAAACACCGACTTGTTGGGGTTTGGTTCTCCTCTTCTGGGACGCAGCTTTCAGCATAAAGACCTTCTGAAACTCTCCATTATATATCAGCCCACCTTCCTTTACATAAACTCCTGCTTTTCTCTCCCAGTCTATTTCTCTCCTTGGGAACCTGCTGCAGAAACATCCAACTCCGCCCCAACCATCCAACCTAAACCTCTTCTTTCCATTGACCATCAGGTATTGAACTGAGTCTCTTTTCTGGCAGTTTTTAACAAAAAAACTTAAATCTTTAGTTTTGCTGCTCCAGAGGAGCACAAGGAGCGACTAGGGGGGGAAGGAGTTAAGCAGGAAGGGGCTTCATCTGTTTTAATCCTGCAGTAATCATAAGTGTAATCTCTCCATTGTTATCCAGCTGACTCCACATAACAAGTTAATTAAAACCGGCTGACAACCTGAGCAGAAAGAATCCGTTAAAAGCTAAGCAGTTAATGTGATTTTGGATTCAGTTTGTCTCCAGGTCAGACGTCCAGCCAGGCTTCTGTACAGCAGAAACACACAGATGAATGTAAAGGGGTTTCCCTGCAGGGGTGGGCTGTTGGTGGAGCCTATTTCGGCTGACGGAGCAGAATCAGCAGGAGGCCAGGATGGATTTAAAAAGGATTGATGAAGATCTGAATGACAGAGGAGGACTCTGCACCTCCTCCACAGGGACGTCTTCCATGTTTCCTCCTCCCCCTGGAGGAGACAGAAACAAACAAATGACCAGGGGTGGAAAGTAACCAATTACATTTACTCAAGTTTAGTAATCTGTAATTTTCTGAGTAGTTTTTGAAATATGTAATTTTTACTTTTACTCGAGTAAATTTGAACCTAAATAGTTTTACTTTGCTACATTTTAAACCCCCTCATATTAAAAAAAAAAGAAATTCTGATGATAAAAAAATTAAATATGGCCAGAAATTTAAACCCGTGTGTCACGGAACCGACACTTAATCGGCATTAAAAAATAGAAGAAGACTTTTGACTTTTAACAGCACTTTATTAACACAATTCAAACATATAAACAATCGATGTAAGAATAAGTGACAGTTAAAAATCACTATTAAAGTAAAACAAGTGTCAGTTAAAATCATTAAATGAGGAGCTTGTTAATAACAGTGGGATTTTGTTGCGTTTTAGTTTGATTTCTGGGATCTTTTGGGCATTTAATTTTGTGTGCATTTTGAAAACTTTAAAATGTAGTTTAAATTTCTTTATTCCTATCATGGTGTCTGTTGGACAGTAGGATTGAAAATAGTTTGCACTTTATTGTTCAGGTTGTGACTGTCCTTGTGCTG